TGCAAAAGTCAATTTTATTTCTCTATTTTTATTAAAAAAAAAGTGATTAAAATAAAATCAAGAATTTTGAATTAGGCAAAATACTATCACATATATCTTTTACTAATTGCAACAAATCAATTATTTATTATAAAAATCGAATTGCATAGTGGACATGACAATTTTGTAAAAGTCAAAATTCTTTCATTTTTTTATAAAAAAAATCTGTTTACCATACAATCGAGAATTTTGAATTAGACAAAACACTATAACACGTATCTTTACCTAACTGTAGCAGATCATGTTTATTAAATCGGGTCAAATTTCAAATTAAAATTTAAAATTTTTTTATCATTTGATTATTACTTTCTTTAATTCAGACTTTTTTAAACATAAAACAAAGTCATATAATATTAATTTGAAATTCAAAATGAAATCAGATTGTAACATCCTAAAAATTTGGGTTTTGTTTAATTATCTAGAATACAAATTTGAAATTGATTGAATACACTTACAAAATAAATAATGATTTCATACACTTACAAAATATCGTATATATTCTGCTAAATAATTTAGTCGATTTATTTAAGACTATCTACAATATTAATATAATTTGTGGCGATAGACGATGTACCAAAAGACCAAACAAATAATTTTGTGTACAATGATGTGTTTAATAATATATAACGTTACATTGTGTTTCATTTCAATATATGTATTTTACATTCTTCTAATCATCCAAATGTAACTGCTTACCTTAATAAAACTAGCTCGTGGATCGCACGGGTACCGCACGAACATAGAAAAAAAAGTCCAATGTTGTCACGCTATTACCGCCCCATCGCCCGCCTTTTGCCACTATGCCTTCATCTACCTCACTAGGGCCACTACCATACATGCGTTCAGGGTCGTCCTCGTAATTTCAGAGATTGCGTTCAGCGTCTCCTCGTAATTTCGAATTCGAATGAGACCTAAATCTGTCATTTGGCCCAAACACCGATTCGACTTATATACGTGGGTAGAGGGAGACAGAGGTGGAGACCCAAAGCTGAGATGCGTGGCAGTTGATGGCGGTGCAAATGGCCGGATCGCCTCGGGAACGGCGTTGTTTTCCCCTTCGTCCCGTGATTCTCCTCTGTTTTTTCTTTTTTACGTTTTCTATACAACTGTCTCTCTGTCGACTCCTTTTAGAACCCTAAAGAGGTCTCGGAAGCTATTCTTCCCTTCTTTTCCATCTTGAGTTCTCCAGGTTTGTGGATTTGTTCGTTATTTACTGACCTGCATTGTGATTGTTGTCTTTGATTGCGGTTCATGGGTGTGCGTTTGATCTGTGATTTGAGCTGCGTCTATTTGGAGTAATTCGTGTGTGCATGTGGATGGGTGTGTAGGTTCGAGAAATGCAGGCGGCGGAGGGGGCGGCGAAACTGCTGTACGTGGTGGTTGTAGAGGATGATTCCGAGACGCCAGCGCCGGCGGAAGCCGGGAATAAGGGTTCACCGTCGTTTAGATACACGCGTTCCGTCCTGCAGAGTACTCTGCAGCTCATGGGTTGCAAGGCTCGTCACGCCTTTAAGGTCAGTCCCTGCAATTGCTATTCCCAATTTGTTTTTTTTTTTATTTTATTTTTATCCTGTAAAGGGTTCGCTTCTTTCCCTCTTATTTTTGTTCAGTTAGTGAGAATTTGCTGTTTTTTTAAATTCCGTGCATGTCGTTTTAAGGATGCACAATGTCTCTGCTCCGACCATGAGCCGGTAGTATGTCCCGGCTTATATGTTTGTTGATGATATGATAAATTATGAGGCTCAGAGCAGATAATATGGTTTAACATAGCTATTTGCTGATTTTTGTACTCTCTATTTTTGGGACCTGTAATGTTTAGTGTTTACACTACCCTATATATAGTTGAGTGTGCGTGATCACTTAATAAGTTTTACTTTTACGTTGTAATTATTGTGATTTGAGCAGTTTAATGGATAAACATATTTCCTTTCTACTTTATTTGAATGTATTTTAGTATAGTAAGTATTAATGGATTCTGTCATACACTTGAGGATAATAGATAAGTATACCCGGGGGTTCTCTCTCACTCACTAAATAAGGATTGGTTCTGTCTTGACAGTTGACCCTTTGCATTTCCCATCTGTATGCACAATTCTTGGATATCTTACCTTTCTAGTTCAATCAATTAATAATCCTATAATTATTGATGTGTGTGTCTTGGAGCAGTTGTGATATTAGCGTGGAGACTTCAACTGTCTATAGAATGAATGATTTGTCAACCCCAATTAGTAATACTAAAGAATGTATAATTGCCCTGCCCTAACTACAAAAATATTTCCATGTCATCTGGAAAATACCAGATGACCTCATGCATTGAGTTAACTGTGCATCTTCGGCAAATTTTATTGCAAGCATATTGTCTTTTGTTTTCGTACTTATTTAGTAAACATTCCTAATTTGGAAGTCACATTGTGTCCTGATACTCTTAATCTGTTCAGATTAGCCAAAGGGTTTTTGAAGTGATGAAACGCAAGCACTTTGTGGAGAAGTTTGTCTCAGAATCTATAGAGGTGTCACCACAGGTTGCTAAATTATATCCTCAAGGGGAGAATAAATGCTATTTTCCACCCTGTTCGGGCAAAGAAGATGTTGATCATTCATCTGAGACGAAAGATGTGAGCAAAAGCAAACCATTTGAATCGTACAAGCGACGCACAACCATGGTTGTTGGAAGAAAATATTTTCTAGATGTTGTTTGTGAGGCTCTCTCAGAGTACAAGTATGTGGGTTTAAATCAGAGGGCTGATCTAGTATTAGCTTGCAGGTAGAGTTGGCATGCATAACCATCTGAAAGTACATAATTCTTTCTTGATTGAATGTACGAATGAAGCTCTACAGCTGGTTGTTAATTTGTTCAATTAACTTTGCTTGAATAACTTGCTGTTTTATATACAGTTCATTCGCTACCTTTAATAACTAATATCAGCGTACATACATATTGCTTCCCTTTGCAATAACTATGAAAACAGCACCTAACTCAGCCACTTGAAATTTGACTAGGTAATCCGAAAAACAAGTAGTTCCTGCTTTTGTTAGTTGTTATTGTCGTTACCCATTTTTATTTTTATTGTACTATACTTTTTTAAAAAAAAATTAAGCCAATATAGCTGCCGGAAAGAATTGAATGGTGGAAGGATGAATACATGTCCAGATATAATGAACTTGGATTTATTAAGAGAAAACTTGTTAATTCTCTTCATTTTGCTGTAGTTCTCTATTGTGCTGCTTTTCTATTCTTTTCTGTCAACTTTTCCCTTGTCTTGATTATTTTTTCTTAATGGTGGAAAGACTCAGAATGATAGAGGTGTCGATTCGGTCTTTGATCTAGAAATTTATTAGTAAATGGGATATTATTACTAGTATAGTTTCCTGACCTGATTCTTTTGCAACGATAAAAGATTCCTTTTTAATATTTCAATGTTGATAACTATTGATGCAGAATTATTTTTTCAAACTAATCTGCATGCATCATGCCCTAGAATTTTGTATGCTTACCTGTGAATGCAAGTTATGTAGGGCAGTTCAATCTGAGATTCTATTTATGTTGGTTTCAGTGGAGATCATGTGCTCCGGTTCTCTAACCCTCTTAGCTTTGTATTTCAGAATCAGAGAAAGAAAGGAATCTGTGACTGTCTTGCTCTGTGGCACGAGTGGCTGTGGAAAGTCTACTTTATCTGCCTTATTGGTGGGTTTTTTCGTTCATGGTTTCACATGTTTGGTTTTGCTTCTGCGTCAGTTTTTCATCTTTTCTTTTTAGTTGGTAATTTTTTTAATAGTATTCAGATTCTTTAGCATGTCTAACTTGTTAAGATTATTCCTAGTTTTTTCATCATCATATTTTTCTTCTCAATTTGTTTCACAATGACTAGTACGGAGAAAGCCTTCCCATGAAGAATTATTTATAATATGATCAGCGGCATCAAACTCATTCAATTGGTAGAGCTTTTAGATTCTATTACTATTCTTATGATGCCTTATTTTGACTTATTTGATGATTCTTCATATTTAGAAACTTTTGTCCCACTTCAACTTCTAGTTTCCAAATGTTATAAATTGGATACAAGGTCGAGCAAATGTTGGTTGCTTGTTCAAAAAACATAAGCTGTCCTTACAAATTTATTTTTGTCATTGGTTCTTACCTGGAATTGGATTAAACAATTGGATTGGTGAATTTATCTATGAAAAATTGAGATCTGGTAATATTATTTTTTTCGAGAAATATTTTCTCATATCCATCAATGTGACTGCAGGGTAGCAGGTTGGGTATCACTACTGTTATATCTACCGACTCAATTCGCCATATGATGAGGAGCTTTGCTGATGAGAAACAAAACCCATTACTTTGGGCCTCAACTTATCATGCCGGTGAACATTTGGATCCAGTTGCAGTTGCAGAAGCTAAGGCCAAAAAGAAAGCCAAGAAATCAGGTGGGGTTTCTGCTGCCTCTCTAGCTAAAGATGAAGGGCTCAGTAATCCCACGAGTGAAAAATCCAAATGCAATACAACGGCCAGTGATTTAATTAGTCCGAAACAGATGGCTGTTGAAGGATTCAAAGCACAAAGCGAAATGGTAATTGACAGCCTCGATCGACTTATAACTGCATGGGAAGAAAGGAAAGAATCGGTTGTGGTGGAGGGGGTTCACTTGAGTCTCAATTTTGTGGTAATAGTTTATGCTATTGCTTTCTGAGGAATTTGTGTATATATAGCTTTAATTGATGATTGCCCCTGACCCATGAACCCCCTTTTTTTTCTAAAAAAAAATGCCCACGTTTTCACAATTTTAACATCAATTTTAAAAATATTTGCAATGTGTTTACTTCTACTTTCAATTTATTTTCTGAAGAAATGCTTTATGATGAGCTTCCTGGCCACACTTTTACTTAGCACACCAGACCTCCAGTTGTTTATCTTTTACTTTTTTCTTCTAGTTTGATTAGATACACTCTTAAAACTCCAAGTATTAGCCTTCTGGCAGTTTTGCGCTTATATTATACAGTTTTAGGTATTAAGCAAATGGTTTTCAACCACCCTTCTCAACTAAAATCCTGATGTGATTTTTTCCATGATTGTCTCTAAATTTCTTACCTTCACTCGATACACTCTGCACAGATGGGCCTCATGAAAAAGCACCCATCTATCATCCCCTTCATGATCTACATCTCAAATGAGGAGAAGCATCTGGAGAGGTTCGCCGTTCGTGCCAAGTACATGACGTTAGACCCGGCTCGTAACCGGTATGTCAAGTACATCCGCAACATTCGCACCATCCAAGAGTACCTCTGCAACTGTGCCGACAAGCACCTCGTCCCCAAGATCAACAACACCAATGTCGACCGTAGTGTGGCCATCATCCACGCAACTGTTTTTGGCTGCCTCCGCCGGCGAGAGTCGGGCGATCCCCTCTACGATCCCGTCACCAACAAGGTCCCCGCCATGGACGAAGAGTACCGAAGCCAGTGCACAGCCTACTCTCTGAGCTCCAAGGGAATGTTCCAGCTCATCCAGAGGCAAGGATCCACCAGGAACTTTATGGCGCTCGTCAATGGCGACGGCTCTGTGGCTAGGGCGTGGCCTGTCGACGTTGTGGGGGACGGGCCTATGTACGGGCCGCTGCGGGTTGGGAGGGCAGAGCCTGTCAACCTGCAATTTGGCCACTTTGGGATAAGTGCTTGGCCTGGGGATACGGGGGGCACGAGCCATGCCGGAAGCTTTGACGAGTCGAGGGGAGAGCTGACGGACAATGGGAGCAGGTACTACTCGTCGTGTGGCAGCTCGCCCAGGATATCTGATGGGCCCGCCAAAGAGGTTTGTGCTGTTTCTTTTCTTCTTTTTTTTTTTCCTTTTTTGAGTGGGGCTGGTGGGTTGCAGTGTTTGGCCAAAATTGGACTTAATGATGATGGTTTACTGTTGACATTGTAGTATACTGTGTGCTTCAGAATGTATGGGGCTGTAACATTCACTTTTGGACTACTATAGTTAGAAGTTTATATTGTTGCCACTCTTTTTTTTTTTTGGGCAGCTCAAGGAAGAACAGTCTGTGCATGGTAGTGATGAGGAGGAGATCGATGAGCCATTGGAGGTAGACAGTGATGAAGATCTTAGCGATGGGCAGAAGGAACTACAAGAAGAGGTAACAAATTAAAATGCACGTGCGATGCACGGACTGTATTTACTTTGGAGAATATTAAAAATTAAAATGTATTAATAAATATAAGAGTGATAATTCGTAGGAAAATTATCAAACCATAAAATGTTCCTCATGCAAAAAAATATATTATTTAAACTTTTTTGTACACAACATTATTTGTTCAATCACGGAGCAACTCGTTGTCCCCACAAACTAATATTTTCAACACTTTTCTATTATTTACACACGAAACAAACAACATAATTGTCCGTGATTAAAAATTGATTTTTTTAAGAACATGCCAACGTACAATAAATGTTGACCTTTACTCTTCTTGATCTATTACTTAAATGTCAACGTACAATAAATGTTGACCTTGACTCTTCTTGACCTATTACTTACACAGGTAACAACATACAATTGGTCGCGATCAAAAAAAGATTTTTTTAAGAACATGTCAATGCACATCTCTTATCTATTACTTACACGTAAAAACAACAACATATAATCGGTCGTTGCAAAAAACCGATTTCTTTAATAATATGCCAACGCACATAAAGATTGACTTTGATCTTAAATGAAACCCTAAGATTAGAAGTAACTGGTACTCTAGAACTTAAATGAAATCCTAAGATGGATCTTTTTATAATATGATAATTTACTTAGGCAGTCAGACAATGAGCTGTTAGTTTAATATCGATTATCCTTGATTAGCTATATAATATTCACTAATATTTCTATATTTTTTATATAAAAAGACTGACCATGACTGTTAAATGGAACCCCAAAATCAGAAGGAATTGGTGCCGCTGGAACTTAAATGGAACTATAAGATGGATCTATTTATAATATGATAATTTATACAACAGTTGGACAAATGAATTGGTGTATATCTACAAAAATATATATGAAAAATGCAAAACATTAAATGTTACATTACACTAATTTTATGAGAGAGATTATATATAGTAGATGTAAAATATAAAACATTAGTGATTAGACATTACTTCAGGCTAATTTTTTCAAGCCGAACAATTTTTAATTAAATGTGTGATAACTTGTTATATATTTTCAAACTGAACAATTTTTAATTGGACAACTTTCCTATATGTGTGACAACTTTTTAGTTAGTAAATTTATATCATCATCAACATCATCAACATACCCCGTATATTCCCAAACAGGTTGGGGTCTGGGGGGTCAGTTGTACGTAGACATTACCCTTGTAATTATACAAGGAGGCTGTTTCCATAGCGACCCAAGGTGCGTTGCGTCGTTTGATATATTTTTTCTAGAAACTTCACTAATAGAAGAAGCACTAGAATTTAATTGAGCCATTTTGATCTAGTCCATTATTTGCACGATGCCAGAAGAATTGTCAACATTGACTCTTCCAGCTCCATTTGCAATGGACTCAAGGTAGTAAATTTATATATATATATATATATATATATTGCAATAAATTTATACTTTGTGTATACAAAAACAAAAAATCGATTTACTATACAAAATTTTGAAAATTTTCCTTTTAAAAACAATTGACAAAAAGAATACCAATAAAGGAAATTGGTGTATATCTTTAAAAAAAAAATGATTTGTATATATCTCATATAAAATCGTTCTTTTTCAAAATATGCTACAATGAAAAATATATTTAAATATTAATATAAATATATTTAGATATTAATATAAATTTATATTTTGTAATTGTTGGTTCCAATAAATATGATAAAATAAAAAAGAAT